TTTTTTTTTTTTTAAGAACTGGGAGCTGGGGTGGGCTGGGAGAGCAGGCACGGTTTGGGAGGCTCATGGCAGAGGCCCCCCCCCTCACGTAGCAGGGGACTATGGGAATCGCCCCCCTGCCTGGCAGTAGCTGGTGAGTAGAGACTTTTTCATTGGTCTCCCGATTCAGTGGCCGAATCTCCAAATCGAATCGGGCCGAATCTCCTCCAAATCTAAATCAGCACCCAAAGCTTTGCACAGCCCTAGTTTCTGTAGTGCAGAAAGTCATAGAGAAGGAGTCTGCTGGCTTCATTTGATAAGATGTTTCCATTGTCCTATCAATCAGTAGGTAGGTTGACTTTGTACACATTGAAACAAGCACATGAAGAAACTATACCAAATAAAGGTTGGTGCAGCAAAAACACTTACCTCACGTTTACTAACTTAAAGTACTCCAAAGTTGAAACCAGTATAGATCAAAAGAAACGTGAATCTTACTGGGAGATAAAAGCAACTGTATCATAACCAACAAAACGTGACAATGGGTAGTGGCAATCTTAATTTCCACTGTCATGTAGGTGTGTTGCCTTTTTAGTTATGGGAGTGTAGTTTATTTACTGCCCTCTCTCCAGGGAAAGTGGTGCGGTCTTAACAGTTACAGCAGAAACGCATTGTCATTTATTGTTGTGGAAGAGACTGGCTCTGGGTTCATGACCTCTTGGGAGAAGTCTAAAAGAGTTTAACCTTGTTTACAAGTTAGGTTGACTAGAGCATGACACATGACTTCCTGGGGCTCAAGGTCATCCAGTGAGTTGGATCAAAAGCAAGTCTGTAGCTTGCTAGAACTTCTTCATCCAGATCTAGGGCAACACTGTGTCTTTGAAACGGATTTGTATCTCCGTAGTAAAAGTTATGTTATCGTCACAGGTTCATTTCCTCTCTCAAGTCATTGCCTTCCTCGGGGGAGCAGTAAGCATGACTTGGAACGAGAATGATTCTTATAGCTGCAGAAATTATTAAATTAAATTAATTATTTTGCATTGTCTTATTTTGTAGCAGGCAGAGGTAGAATATTGTATGGGAGAAATCTATTTTCATAATCAGCGTGTATAAATTATATTTAAACTTTCATGGTGCATGTTTTTGAATAATCACAACATAAGGCATTGTTCACTCACAGCTGAGTGACAAGACTGAAGGAACAGCCCAAAGTGGCTTATTTGGAAACAGCAGGCTTCAACCAAATATAAGCTGAATTAATAAATGTGTAAAATGGCAACAATCAGTCTTGTTGTTTTGTTTTTAAATTAAGGATGTAAAAGTACAAAGCCAGGGAATGCCCTGACCCTTGTTCCATGGGCAGTTTCACTTTAAGAATCTGCCTTTTCCTTTCATGGTGGGGAGGAGCAGGTATTTTGCTTTGAAACAGTTAAGCATCCACACATGGGGAGCAGACTAGCATTAAAGGTTTGAAGGGTTGTTTTTCGTTTGTTCATTTTTGTTTTTAAACCTCTACAGCATTGTCTATCATAGAAAAAATTATACACTGATTGTGTCAGCTGCTACCACCCTCTCTCACTCATCCAGTTATTTGAGAGAATTTCAGTACTTAATCTTGCCACCTCTCCTTGGTAGTGTCTGAGTTTCTCTCTAACTTGTTTATACATAGTTGGTTTTGAATGCTTTTATACTTTTCCATCTTTGCTCAATAGGAAGTCTTGAATTTAGTGTCAGTAAGTGCAGAAGAGGACCCCATAGAAGCATATGCTGCATAGCCTGAAGTTCTCTTTCCACAGTTCAGATTACCAGCATGGGTTATCTATAAACAAATTTCATCTCTTGGCAATTACCTAGCCAGTGTTCTGTCCAACTTTGCTTTATATTTTTCATATCTAATAATGCCGTTTCTAAAAAATGTGCTTCCAGTGGCCAATCACTGCTGGGTATTCTTGATTTTTACAAGCAAGGAACAGTTTACAATAGGCTTGGACTTACTATACCAATGAGTCTAATGGAAGAAAGATCACTCTTCCAGTAGGGAAACCGCTGCCACCTAATGAAAGACAAAGGATTATCAGTAGCTCTCGCTAAAACCAGTAGAACCTGCTGTTCAACATCTGGCCACTTCTGCATGGGTGCCTAGAGGTGACCTCTTCTGAAAAAAATTCTGCTCTTAAATACACTTTCCAAGATCTGAAAGTTAGTTTCTGTATCTGCTCAAAACCTCAGCTCTGACTGCCTCTGATTTGTGATAGCATATAACTGACCCCTTTTCTCTGATGGACCAGATCTAAACGCTCCCAAATGTTGGAGAAAACTACATCTTAACTCTGCATCTCTCCAAAACCATTCCATTTGGACTCTGCCTTTGCCAAAAGCTGAGCACAGTAAGTGAGTTTCCATTACATAGGGCTGTAAAATATGTGTGGTGCTCTGCTAAGCATATCCTAAAATGAAAACAGCTGTATGATTATCCTCTGTTTAACCTCCCTGTTTCTTTGCACTCTTTTCCAATGCTTGTAGCTCCTCTCAGGAAGCAGGCAAAGGGACATTCAAACAAATTTTATTTGGTGCATGCTATTTTATGGTTTTCATCATAACCAGTTTAGGTTTATCTCTGAGTCACAAAGATGACCATCAGCAGCAGAAGGGCTGTGGGGAGATGCTGAAAAGTAAGCTATAGCTGAGCCATGGGACTAGTCCATGAATCTTCATATACCACATTCAAAAGCCCTTTACTGATGGGCCCAATTACCTGCTGAGCAGGTCCTTTCCCCTTGTTAAGCATTTCCAGCAGGATGAACAAAATCTTCACTTAATCTTCTTTAAAGGGTCCTGAATGTACTTAGGCTGCTGATCTGGGAAGAAAATTGCCTTAAAAAGGCACCATTTTCCAATACAGAAATTAGAGTACCTTCTTATGTACACACCTCCTTTTCCTATGTGACTTAATTTACCTTTGGGTATTATTTCTCTTACTAAAACATTTTCACTGCTTGATTAATTCTGCCAGCAGGAGTCAAGTGCTAACCTTCCTGCTGGGATATTAAAGTAATTCTTCCTGCTTTAATGCATGTCAAAAATAACTAAATCCTCAAAATATTTTAACCTTTATCAAATTACGTTTTATTCCATTAATCCGACAGGAGTATGTGAATGGGAACGTAAATAAGAGGGAGGAGACATTTCACCACTTAAGCATAAACTTGAGATTCTGGGGTCAAAGGGCTGCTCAGCTAGCCATCAGGAGCCAAGTCTATTAAGTTGAACTCATTGCAAATGGTTAATGTGTAGCCCACAAGCCATCTTAATTCAAGGGCCATTGCATAACAGTATCACTGTTATGTATACTTCAGCGGCATCTAAGAACTGCAGGTAGGGACCAAGATGCCACCGGATGAAGTTCTCACACAGTGCTTACTTACCCTAGAATATTTGTGTTAGTCTACTGGGTTGATTTAGATATACTTTACACTTTACTTTAGAACCAAGAATATCAAGGCACTTAAACTGGGCCACATTTTCAAATGTGTACTCAATGTACAGAATACTTGCGTGAGTCTGGCCTCTTGTTTTGGTCCCTAAGGGCCCTGTTTCCTTGCAGTGTGACATACAGCAACAGTCAAACATCAAGTAGATGACTTCCCTTATACCTTTCAGCTGCAGTATACAGAGTGCTGTAAGCCTCTCATTAAATCCAAATTCACCCCAAATATTTTTTCTATTACAAAAAAAACCAAACAAACTACGAGCATTGAAAGAAAAAATGAGGATTTTTCCCCAGGAAAGAGCAGTTAGCTTGATTCGATTCAGAGCCTCTTAAAATTAAGACCTTCAGTTCTTTTAGTGAAAACTGTCAGCTGAATTTAACAGTTTCACCGGAGGTGTTCTAATTATGTGCTTTACTTCTGGTACGTACAGCAGATTTAAGAACAAAATTGCAGTCCACATAAGAGAGAATTTGCTTAAGTCACCTGCTGGGAAAACTTTGGTATTAGGGGGATTAGAAATGCATGTATATAAAAAAGCAAGATGACAGGCACAATACACAGGACATTTGCCAGAGAAGAAGAGGTGGAATCGTTCATCCAGCAGGTAATGTACTTGAACAGAACATGCATTACGCTTTGCTTGTTCAGTGTTTCTAGGTACCTGACAGAGAGAGGCCACAGGGCATTTTAAAAGGCTCGGTGTATTAGAAACTATATGCTTCGATTTAATACAGTATTCACCACTTTTATTCAAGCCTGTATGCTGTCATGGTTACACTTATATTTTGCTCTATGACAGAATGCAGAAGACTAGGAAGGTCTTTGTAAGTCTCCTTCTGCTTATCCTGTCTGTGGATATCTGCCTGGCTCAGCATTGGTCATATGGCTTGCAACCAGGAGGAAAGAGGAATGCTGAAAACCTTGTTGAGTCATTCCAAGAGGTAGGTTCCTGATTTTAAATAGCCCAGCATTTGTTGTGCATTATGCCATGTGCCTTCTTAATTAATTTTAAAAAAGGAATTTAGTATTACTGACAGATGATAGCCCTGGAGAATAATATATTATGTCTGCTGATGAGATACACCAGAGCCAGTGGCACCTTCCAGGTTACATCAGTTCTAAACCTCTCTGCTAGATCAACAGCTTAGCTTCCAGTCTGCTGCTACTGGGCAGCACTCATTGACTTGACCCTAGGTCAAACAGGTGTCTGTCATACTGTAACAGATCTGATGGCAACCATTCACTGGAAAAAGGGATTCAAACCTAGAGCTAGCAAAAGGCTCCATCTACTAAACTTCTGATTCATGCAGTTTCCTCCTTAAATACTTGCATCAAGGTATTTTTGACATTGCCGTTTTCATTTATTGTACCAAGAGTCAGATGACACTCGCTCTAGGCAGTGGGTGAGAGAGATGAAAATAACTGCAGAACTTGAAAACCGCACTGCAGTGCTGCTACACCATTGATCCCTTAGATTTTTTTTTCATGAGACTCGCATTTTCCCCAATTTAGATGGCAAGTGACATGGAAAAAATTGGAGAAATGCAGCAGTTTGAATGCAGCAGTGGCCCCCATCAGCCCTCCAAGCTCAGTGATCTGAAGGAAGCTCTGGTAAGTCAAGTACTGATTTATCAAAGGATCACTTTTGAGGGAGTTTTATTAATCCTTTGAATTACTAGAGCATTAGGGAAGTCCCATCCATTGATGAGGATGCCACCATTCTGGGAAGTGCCACTGGTGCCAAGACTTCCTCCTACAGAGATAAATTCAAAGTGAGGTGATTGTTACCTTCCTCCCAACCCTTGGTAGCATTCACAGCTATTTAACATCAGAGAATAACTCTACCAGCTAAAGAATCAGGCCATATGGATGCTGCTACTCCCAGGGTCCCCCAGACTTTATAGTGCATAATCCAGTAGTTTCTCCAGAGTAATGACAGAACTTCAGTGATCAGAGCAGCATGCAGGAGCCAGAAGGCAGTAATGCACTTTACTGATATTGACAGCATTAAAACAGAACTGGTGCTTTTGGGTGCCTCAGTTTTCACATGGCCAAATGCCACCCTAAATGAGGCAGGTGCTCAGCTCTGGGGGAAAAAAAAAGTTGTGCGTTTTGCCCCTAAAAATTGTCCTTCTTCAAAATTTTGGTCTTGCCTTCTACCCCTTCTAAGTGTTGCCATTCACTGAAGAAACAGCTAAATCTAGGTGAGGAGACACCATTGGGAAGTTGAAGTGTTTAGGAATTCACAGAGCAAGCAACTCAAGCCCTGTCTACAGCTCTGCAGGGAACTTGCTCATTCAAAGCACGTAGAATGTAAGCTTTTTGGGACAGAGACCATCCTTATTTTTTGCTCAAATGACACCTACTACAATGGGATTCTGGTTTGTTCTGGAGGCACCTGGGCATTACTGCTGTCCAAACAAAATGTTTGTATGAAGTACTCTGTCTTGTAAGAGCCTTAACTGGGGGCATTGAAAGAGTCCTAGGAATTGTCCAAATACAGCGAGCGACTCATTTGAGTGCCGCTTGCTCATTCACGAGGCTACTGTTTCTCTCTCACACCTGAAGGCTTATTAACTGGATTTTCAGGTTTGCCATCAGAAATTACATTACAATGCTAGTAATTTTACATAAGAAACTGAAACAAGTGTTTTAATGCAGAGGCTGAAGAACAGATGCCATTCTAATTAGCTTGTGGTTCCTCCTGTTTCTACCATATATGCTGCATTTTCTTTAGTCCATAAACCACCACTGGCCATGTCACACAGTATTGTTTCTTCTTCCTAGTTTTTAGTGCCTACTGATATCAAAACTACATTAAATGCTTCCCAGTGCAACTTTTCCAGGTTACTAATTGCTGCAGTTGCAACAGGGATGCTGTGCAAACACCAATAGAAAGGGAGGTATCCACAAGACACGTTCTTTCAGGCTGTTGCCTACCTTATGAAAGTACTTGTACTATGCTTAGTCATCCCCTAGCACCCCCCCAGGGTAACAAGGAATAATGGTCACAAATTGTTGGAGAGTAGGTTTAGATGAGACGTCCGAAAGCACTACTTCACAGTCAGGGTGGCTAGGATCTGGAACCAACTTCCAAGGGAAGTGGTGATGGCTCCTACCCTAGGGGTCTTTAAGAGGAGGCTTGAAGTCTACCTGGCTGGGGTCATTTGAGCCTGGCTTTCTCTCTTGCCCAGGGTAGGGGGGTCAGACTTCTATGAATCTTTTTCCCAAAAGGACTTTTTCAGGGTGAGATGGTAGAGCACTTGCTATTCAAATTCATCCTTAACATTGCTCCAGACTGTCCGTTTCATTTAGCAGAATTTAATCCTTAAGGGTAGGAGCACATGTTGCATTTGTCCTGGAACAGGAAAGTCCCGGGATGGGCAATTACATACATTTCCAATCAGGGTTTAGTGAACCTGCCATTGTTTCAATGTTGCAATCTCAGGACAACACTTCAGATGCTTTTGCTATGTCCCAGGACAAACGGTTAGTGTTTCCTTTTTATCTCATGCATTTTTTTTAGGGTTTGTCCTGGGAAAATGGACATGGACATCTCAATGACTGCACTTTGCCCCAGAACAAATGCAATGTCTGTTTGTAGCATAAGGGTCCTACATACATAGTGTGGACTGAAAGGGCAGGAGGTGTTGGCATGAGAATCACACAGCCTGATTCAATTTCATGGTCCACCGCATACTTTCCATTCATCTTAGATGATTTTGGCCCCAAAGATTTTCAGTGAGAGGTCACGTTACATCAACAAGGCTCCTTTCAGCATCTAGTCATACTTAAATGTTTTGACAAATCTGATCCTCAGTACCTCTGTAAAACAGAAAAAACAATCACCTGAAGAGGATGTTGTGAGGATAAATACATTGTTCACATACTACAATGGTGGGAGCCAAAAGAATGCTAAATATGTGCGCCATTTTCCATACAGATATTTCAAGTAAGTTCTTTGCTTCCTCTCCTAAATAGCTGTTGCAATGCACTGTTCAAAAAACTTTAGCATTTCAGTGGAGGGCTATTTACCAGATGTGAGGTTGGCCATGCACCTGGGGATGAAAGACACTATTATAAAAGCATAAGCTGTATTATACCATGGTATCAGATACCCAGGCAGGTGGCAGAGAGATCAGCTTGGTTCAGATTTATGCAGTTTTTTAATTCTCTTTCCGACAATGACCTCCATGTAGAATATTTTATTATTTAATCTGGCCTTGAAATTCCAACCAGTTATTTTTCCTCTTAAAAAAAAAAAAAGTTAAAAAAATCACAATGTGTGTTACAGGCAAGTCTGACTGAAGGAGAAACTGGACGAAAGAAGACTTAAATCTACAAAGCCAAACAGAACAAAGGGTCCATTAAAGTCACATGTCAAAGCAATGCTTTAAATCTGAGTTCTAACCTCTGCTTAGATTACATCACATCCCTATGTGTTCGAATACAAAAAAGCCACATTTTGATGTTGGAAAATACTTTAGTATAGAATATTAGGCTTTTGCACAAAAGGAATCATGCTACAGGCCAATGAAGAGAGACTGGATTGACACTCGCAAGACCTGGCTTCTATTTCTGGCTCTGCCACTGACCTGCATTGCGATCCTGGATAAGTTGCTTCACCTTGGCTTTTGTTTCACAACACCTAGCAAAATGGGGCCCTGCTCTTGGCTGTGGGCTCTGGATGCTACTGTAATAAAAATAAAACAAAAACCAAATAAAAGGCTACCTGCTATTCAGTAACATGGAATTTCATTTTGCATGTCAACAGTCCACACAGAAGATATGTTTGCTGGTTCATCCATAAAAACTACATTTATTTAAAAAAACAAACAAACCAACATATTTACAAACTTTACAACAGTTAATACAATGTTTTAAAAACACAGACATTTATACACCTTGCTTTACAGTGTTTGTAAATCATATGCTTTTTCACTTTGAGGGGATGCAACATCCCTTTTCCAAAGCTTAGCTCTGACTCTTTCTTCAGAGCCAATTTAAAAAGCTGCGTTTATTGCTGATTTGCCTATGAAGGAATAACAAAACATCCTGCAGCCTGTAGTGGTTTTAAAACCAAGTCATTATGTCAAGAATCACAAAGGAATCAAAATGTTCATACTGGCAAAGAATATATATATTCAGTAGACTTACCAAGCCATGTGTCTATAGAGCAATAGCTTGGTAACTCTCCTGAATTCAAGAGGGATATATCCCCAGGTCATGGCATTAAACGTTTAATACCAATAGCATCAGTTAATGCAACCTAGTACCTATTTTTAGAGCTGCTGAGTACATACAGCTTTGTTTGAAAGCAACAAACTGCAGATAGATGGCCAGCATCCCTGTAAGAGAAGTCAGAAGTACATATGTACACCTCCTCCCCCCAATCTAATTCCAATTACTTAAAGGTAATCTTTCCACTGACTGAAATGGAAGATTGCTAGGTCAACAGCACACACCTTAATATCACGTGACATTACTTTTTGTGATGGGGTTCTCCAAAGCACATATCGTTCCTAGTGGGATATGTTCTTTAATTCCAGAGGTAGTTATTTATTACACTAGAAGTCAGTGGGATTTTCATGGAAATAGAATTAAGCCATCATTGTGTATTTTTGAAAATCCCACCTCTTCAATGTCATGAGAACCATGACACAGGATTTAATTTTTCTCTAGAGTTTCAGAGGGAGGTTCTCCCTGGTCCACTGGATAATCTGGTCTGAAAATAAATGCAGTGAATTTAAAGCAGCTTTTAATATAGAATGCAAAGCACTGAAAAAGGGAAGCAGCATTGTTCAGGAATGTTTTTGCTACCAAAAAAAAAAAAATACATAGTTAAATTAGACATCCAACTTTTTAAAAATGCCATTTACAATTATAAAAATAAATAATGACAGTAAATCTGCAGCAATGAATCTTATATCTTCATCACTACAAGTCTGACTTGTAAATCTGTGGAAGGTATGCTGCTGACACGTGAAGTTTGTTCAATTCATAATTTTGACAACTGCTCTGCAGGCACAGCTGCATTTTCTACCACTGCAGATCGCAGAACAGCTCTCATTGGGGTCAACTACTTTTCCTAATCTAGTAACCCACTGGAATGGAAGGCTGCCCATTTCTCTCCTGTGTGGATTAGAGCTTCACTTGTAATATTTTAAATAGCATTTATCCCAGCATTATGTATTTTAAATAAAGAACATCCAAGCAACAAGTATCAACCAAGTTCCTCAACAGAGAAAAAATGTTTGTGACTTAGAACTCAATATGGCTAAAGTGGGATTCATTTTTTTCCTTGTACATAGGTTAGGTTTGGGTTCACTTTTTTAATTTCTTCTTTTTTCCATTACTGTGGTCAAATGAAAATGTCATTTGCTTTCATTACTGATATTAAGAGATTAAATGTAATTCAAGTGGGGGGGGGGATTGTTTTTTTGTTTGGTTTTTTTTTTTTTACTTTTATCCAATCATTTGAGATGCACTGAATTAACGTTTTCAAAAATCTCCAAGTAATTGAGGATCTTAACTCCCAATGTTAAAACAGGAGTGTATTTGTTACTTCTGGTAATAAAAGAGTCCTAAATCAGCTCAGTGGTATTGAGCTGAGCTGGACCACTGGTAGGATTTTCCAAAGCAGCTAGACACCTCTTATTGATTTCAATGAGTCAGGCCCCCTAGACACTTCCCTATATATTTAGCAGCCTAAATACCTTTAAAAATAATCACCTCTGAAAACAGGATTAGACTCTCTAATCACTTAAGGCACTAGAAAATATTATTTCCTTGTTTCTAATGAATGTGTACCTATTTACATCAGCTCAGGATCTGTCCCCTTCTGTATGGCAGTCAGTTATACATCTTTAATGAAAATTAAACTATTTTTGGAGCATGCCTGCAGCAAAATAAAGACAACAGTGACAGAGGATAACACAGGTTAGAGAAAGAGGATACAGATTGCAGGCATGGTTAAATAATAGTTTCATAGTTTCATAGCAGGTAGGGTCAGGAGGGACCTGAACATATCATCTAGCCTGACCCCCTGCCACAGGGAGGAATGAATGCTGGGTTCACAAGACCTTAATAGAACCTTTAAGGCAATTTTCCTAACAGTAAGGGCTGGAAGATGAAGGTAATATTTAGTACTCATCAAAATTCCTTGGAAAAAGGGAAGTGCCACCCTCCTTATTCCCTACTCTACAGACATCCAACAGCTGTCTCTCTCCAATAGGGGTGAAGTCTCACTTACAAGGATCTCCAACTGGCCAGACAACAAAGGCAGCAAGAAAAAAAAGCCTGAATTGTGTAGGCAACACACCAAGAAAAACGAAGGAATTTAACAGGCAATGGTGCAAATTCCTAGGCAGAAGGAACAACCACAAATGGCATTTTTATATGTGATTTGGGATGTGGCACCGAGTGCATGTTAGTGAGCTATGCTAATTAAAAAGTGCCCATGTGTCATGTCCTTGTGCTGAAAAAATGGCAGCGGGGCGCTTTGAACTAAAACTCAAATGTGTTTTATTTCAAAGCACCCTGCCACTGTATTTTCAGCGCAGGGACACCGATACACATTACATGGAAGGCTGCTGGAGCACGTCAATTTCTGTGCTCCAGCAAACTATTAATTGAGTCCGCTCCAACACTGGATTTCCAGTGCATCGGATCAGGCTCCCCACATGTCTATAGAAGCCCACTGTCTCTGAAACTTGGTTGAGCTTCTAAACTGTAAGGAAGGCCAAGGAGCAAAAACAAAACTTACATCAGCCAGAGCTCAAGCCAAAACAAGAGAGGGAAAAAAAAAGAAGTGTTGAGCTTCTTGAAACTGAGTCATTTGTGGAAATGCAAGAAAGCTAACACACCCAATTCGTTCTCCCAAGTCCACTTAGGTAGCATCAACACTTGCTAGCTCAGGTGTTAGTATTGATGAACCACTCAGGTAGGAGAGAAATTAAATCACTCATCAACCATCTACAGATATCAACAAGAGTTTTAACCACTTGCACGAAGCGGTTAAACATTCTTGAATTCACGTTCAAGAATGGAAAACAGGAGAAAGAAGAAAATGTCAGGCTATAGATCGAGATGGGCCCATGCTACAAAAATATCCAAGTCTGATTCACATCTTATCAAAGTTCGAGCATATTCAGAGGAAAATTTTGAGTTTGGTCCATTGCAGAATTAAAGAGCAGCTTCAAAGTTTCTCTCAACTTTCAGAGCTATTCAGATACAAACTTCTCATTCAGGCCCCTTTTTCCTTCTACAGACATGTGGCAGGGAAACACAATGCTAACTTTAACTCACTTCTACAAAATAAATTGAAAGGCAGAGAAACGAGACTAGGCCCGAGCTAAACTGATCAGCGATAATAATACCAGATGTCCTTACAGCCCTCTAGTTTACTCAGCGGAGAAACTGCAACAGTTTTAGCATAGGTTAACATTTTCCCACTGACTTTATCAAAAGCAAGAAGCAACTTAACACTGTAACCATCTTGTTCTCAAAAGACTCCATGTAAGCATGGCAGATAAACAGATAAACCCGCACAGACACACTACTCACTCGGGACTAGATCTGGACCCCTCACTCAGGGAAAAATGTTCACTGAACTGAGTTTTGCTTAAATCAGGACTTCAGGATCAGGTCCTTCAGTAGGTGTGCATGTGCATATGGACTAGGAATAGCAGGAAGAGATTGCTTCCAAGCAAAAAGGAAAAGAAAACCCTGAGGTTTTCCAGTCAAGCAATGTCTATGTCCAAGAACATAATGTGGATCTGACAAGTACCACGATGTACCAGAGAGATGGGGTGAAACGTGGTCAAGATGTCCAGAAAGGTTTTCAAAGATGTCCCTGGAGAAGGCAACAGCCCATCAGACAGCTGTGCATGTGCTATAGCATATGTGATGTGACTACAGTGCGACTTCTAAAATGTCTCCAACTTGTTTTGTGATGTGAATCTGATATGACCCTTTAATGAATGCAATCTGTTTATACAGCCATCCAAGAAGCAAAACAGAAGCATCTTCTGCAAGTTTTTGCTTTTACCCGGAATCAAACACAAGCCAAAAAACGTATTAGAGAAGATAAAATTGTTCCAGTTTGAACAAAAATTAATTGCGAGAACACTGCTCTAGTGAAAGGGGCTTTGTTTAGGTTCCAATGGCTTCTGTTTTTCAATGAAATGATGACACCAGTTTGGGCAGCATGAGCAGGAGTGATTATGGTACAAAAGTCTGCATTAGAGCCATGGTCAATGTTTTTTAATATTATACATCTTATCCTTGGTAGTGATTTCAGTGGATCCCCTAAATTTAAGCCAAATGACGATCTAGCTTTACAGTTAGAGATGTTCCCAATTCAGATCTTTGCAAAATCTGCAGTGTGCGAGACAGGTGAGATGAAGAGCTCCAAACTCTTTATGTAAATCCAGCTCACCCACAACACTGAAAAATCATAGCAACAAATAGGAAGTCAGCTCAAGACTTAGCTGACAGGATTTTGATGCAATCGCTCCAATACCATGTGACAAAAGAAACCTGGACAGATGGAATGTGCAATTCAGTTCTCTGAAAGGCTCAGAAGAGCCAAAAGTTTTTAAAGTAACTTCTGGCAATCTATAAACTATGCTAAAAAAAAAAAGAGGCTGACTGTATAGCACGACAAATGTAATCAAGGAGGTGAGAGAAATTAATGTATGGAACACAACTACAAAGTTGTCATAGCCGACATACACCTTTGTATAAGTAATGATTATGGGTCTGACCCAAAGCTCACCCAGTGGTCCTGGGATCAGTCTCTCAGGAAGATATACAAAACCATTCAGTGTGTTCTTGAAGTCTACTAACACTAATACTTGAAAAAATAATGGAGCAGGTATAAATGGAAGTTATGGCTGAAATAACAGGAGGGAAAATGTAGATCACTGGACAGTGAACATATTAAATAAATGTCCCACAAGAAGCAGTAGGAATTGGCAGGAAGATAAGAAGATTGCCTTTTATGACCAAGTAACTAAATCCTTGGATGATGGTATCACTGTGGACGTAGTCTTTCTAGACTTTAAGAAGGCCTTTGACATGGTCTCTCACCCCATTCTCATCAATAAATTAAGTGACTGTGGCATTGATGCCTGCACAGTTGGATGGGTAAAAAATTGGCTGATGGGGTGCACCCAGAGAGTAGTGGTGAACGGGTTGTACTCAACCTGGCGAGATGCAAGCAGTGGGGTACCCCAGGGCTCGGTCCTCGGGCCCGCACTGTTTAACATCTTCATCAGCGACTTGGACGAGGGGGTGGAAAGCACGCTGTCCAAATTTGCTGATGACACTAAGATGTGGGGCGAGGTGGACACACTTGAAGGGAGAGAAAGGCTGCAACTAGATTTAGACAGTGGGCAGATGAGAATAGGATGGGGTTCACGTAGACAAATGCAGGGTGCTGCACCTTGGGAGAAGGAATCTATAGCATACATACAGACTGGGGAGTTCCCTTCTTGAAAGCACAGAGGCAGAAAGGGATCTTGGAGTCATTACTGACTCCAAGATGAACATGAGCTGCCAATGTCAGACCACACCCAGCAAGGCCAGCCATACCTTGGTCGTGCATCCAAAGGTGCATCTCAAGCCAGTCCAGAGAAGTGATACTCCCCCTCTATGCGACTGGCCAGGCCGCAGTTGGAGTCCTGCGTCCTGTACTGGGCACCGCACTTCAAAAGGGATGGTGAGAGGGCAGCAGGACAGGCCCTACGAGGAGAGACGGAAGGACCTGAACCTGTTCAGCCTCAGCAAGAGGAGGCTGAGGGGGGGACCTGGTGGCCGCCTAAACTCATCAGGGGAGATCAACAGCAAATAGGCAGAGCCCTTTTCTCCCCAGCATCACCTGGGGTGACAAGGAACAATGGTAGTAAGCTGATGGAGAATAGGTTTAGGTTAGAGATCAGAAGGGAATACATTACAGTTAGGGTGGCCAAAATCTGGAACCAACTTCCCAGGGAAGTGGTCCTCGCCCCTACCCTGGGCAAATTCAAGAGGAGGTTGGATGATCACCTGTCTGGGGTCTTGTGAACCCAGCATTCATTCCTGCCTGTGGCAGGGGGGCAGGCTAGATGATCTGTTCAGATCCCTCCTAACCCTAGCTACTATGAAACTCTAATGTCTATTAGTATGATCCAGTATTCATGGAAGTGAATGAAAAACATTCTCATTCATTTTGAGAAGGTTTTGAAATGCCAATTTTACAGTCATTCTTCTAACCGTAACTGCCTTTAATGAGTCCTTCATTCCATTTAGTTCAGAGATAATAACTGAAAACTTTAAAAAAGGAAACAAGTTTTACACTTCTTAAAATTATCATTTAGTCCCTAAGTATTAAAAACAAAATGAACATGTTTTAAGCAAAGATCAGGTCAGGAGGAAACACTTGTCTCAGGCACTGTGTAAATCACAATGCATGCTTTATTTAAGGTCAGAAAAAGCTTTCCAGAAGCCGCAAGATCAGACTGCAGTACCATCATGAAAGTTAGGGTTAGCAAACCTAATTACTACTCAGAAGAGAAAAACTCCACATCCCAAGAATGTCTCAGTAATTCACCTTTTTGCAAGCTTACTCTCACTTCCCCAGTGCAAATCAGCTTCATCTCAATTCATATCAACGGAGTCACCGTATTATCTCACAAACAATATGCCCTGTGATAGTATACACACCCTAATCTTAGTCCTTGGACCAACACGGCTACAACCTACACCCCTTAAAGTAGTTTTAAGCACTTGTTATGCAGCTCAAAGTTATGCCAGGGTTTCACTGGCAGCCCCTGAACAATTAAGGTGTGCTACTTCCCACAGATTTGCTGCACAAATTGAAGTCCTCAGGTATCTCTCGCCCCCACCTGTACAGCAGGGACAGAAACCTGTCCTGACTCACAAGCCCTTAAGTGGCAACTCAGCTACAGCTCCTAGTCCTGTCCCTGCCCACCAGGCATTGAGGGCAGTGGTTCTCAACCTTGTTCAGACCAGGACCAATTTGTAAACATTGAGGGCCAGTCTCCACACGGTGCCCCTCACTCCTGACCTGCTGCCCCCCACCCCCAGCCTCACAGCGAGTGGGACAGAGGTGGATGCATGAGGCATAGGGGGCCCCAAGCAGCCCCTGGCAGGCTAACGCTCTGCCAGCCTGCAAGGGACAAACCCCAGTTTCCCATGTTTTTCTCCTTTACAGAAGAATCCAATTTTAAATTTTGTTTGCAACCCTTTCGTATACAGGCACTCCTCACTTAACGACTGAGTTCCGTTCCTACGACTCGGTCGTTAAACGAATTGGTCGATAAGCGAGGAGCCGCCCCTTACCGACCGCAGTCGGCCCCCAGGGAAACAGCCGGGGACGGGAAGGCGCTGGCCATGGCAGTGAGCGCTGCTTGACGCTGAGACACCACGCTGCCGACCAGCTCTACGACTCTACAGAGAGCTGGTCATAAGTCCGTGCGGTCGTTAAACAGGTAGGTCGTTAAGTGAGGAGTACCTGTATTTCTGCAAACCACTTTTGGGTTGTGACCCACAGGTTGAGAAACACCAATCTAGGGCACCTACACATGCCGGAGGTCTGCTCTAGTGTGTGCCAATTAGCTGCTGAAGCGTGTTAATTAACATGCTCCAGCAGCCTCCATGTCAAGACTATTTAGTATTCCCGTGCTTCAAAATGGCAGCGGGGGCACTTGAACTAAAGTTTGTCGAACAAGCTGTAGTTCAAGTGCCCCTGCTGCTATTTTGAAGCACAGGGATGCTGATACACGTGACACTGCGGGCATTTTAATTACAGCAGCTCTCGGAGCTGCTTTAACTAAAAGCACCTCCCCACCACACCAGAACGTGTATAGATGCCCCTAGTGACGAAGTCACAACTCGACAGCTCAAGGACAGTCAGAGAAGGTTTGTAGACTAAGGGTGCGACTGCTCCAAACTCCAAGGTAGCACTAACACTGATCAACTTTTATGTGGCTCAGAGCATAAGGTGCAACAAGGCCCTCCTTCAGCTGCCTGAACCATAATGCACCAGCTGCTGTACTGGGGAGCGGGAATCAAAGCAGGGTGCTTCTATCCCAGTCAGAGAGATCAGCTTCCCCACTTAATGCACAGACCTCAACTTTATGAAGCTGATTCACAGGGGAAAGGTACATGTTGTGTGCAAGAATATACAGTATATATTGCCAGACGTGAGATGGAGATTAGACTATTACAAATCTATAGGCCAGATCCGCATCCGGTGTAAATTGTTTTAATTTAACTGAGATCAATTAAGGATTAGGAATAAGCAACCAAACCTATATCAAGGATCCATATACTCCTAAACTCTGGATAAATATACAGATCCTAACTCCTTAGCTGGCCACCCTCTGAGATTTTTTTCTGAGATTCTGAAATGAGAGAGGAACAACAGTTATTCAGTGACTGTTTTTTTCCCCCTTCCCTTGAGTACATCAGTGGAAAGGACTCATGGAGTACAACAGAAATGTTTATAAACAGGATACTGGGCAGGGTGACGTGGCAAGTATTCTGCCTAAGAACTTATAAATTAAAAAATAAAACTCCATTGGCTTTTAAGCTCCTTGTGAACGTGGCAGAAACCAGCAGCTCCGACTTCGAGGTGTACAAAGAAAGTTTTTAATTATGAAGATTTTAAGAAGTGCCCCTAAGCATCAATTCTGCAATAGGCAGCTCAGCACAACAGAAAATCTACTCCATCTGTTGATCCTCTGGATCCTAGGGAGCAGAAAGACTACCATGCATTTCGAAAGAGAAAACTGACCTTAAAATTCATTGTAATTGAAGTGCTCCACAAGCTTCATGCTAGCCCTTTGCTTAGGTGAGTTTCAGCCCAAGAAACCACCAAACAACTTCAGAAACAAGTCGCTATTTTAGCTCAGACCTCACAAAGTGCAAATCAATCTGTCAATGCTACTGGTGTTAATCAAAGAAGGGTGAAATCCTGGTACCAGTCGAGTCAAATAGCTGAAGTCCTATAGGATTTAACAGACTCAAGATTTTATTCATAAACCTCAGTCACCAGGACAGTCCAACTGTGAAAGCCAAGTGAATCTACAGTCCATCTGATCCATGAATAAGGGGATTAACGCTTCTATTGCACGTTGATAAATCTGCCAGTCACTGTACAACCTACAGGAAATAACTATAATTCTACTAATTTGGAATATCTATTTTTGCATGAATTACATATATAAAAAAAACCCTATTTTCTTTATTTCAGAGGAATGTAAAGAATGCTGCTGATGCACACTAAAAAACAATGAAGTGGAATGAATTATGAAAGGAATTAGAGCAGATTCCATAAAACATCCTTTAACTGCACAAGTCAGCAAAGAACATGAAGTTGGAGTAATCCAGGGTATTAAAATGCATAAGATTACACTGCCAAGTCTTTCATGTCCATCCCAGTAATAACTATGACTTAGTCAAGTCCAATGACTGTTAAGAGTTTGGTCAGGTGTTTAGTGGGCAAAGCACAATGTAAACGGCAAGACAAAAGGCACAGTGTTGGAGTGTTGCAATAATTGGGTGCTGTAAAGGGAAGTGTATTTGTGACCATCTGGATTTGAAGCTTTTTGGGCAAGAGTTTAATTTACATTCTTGCAAGCCCACTTTTGCATCTGCTAACTTCAAAAGTCATTGCCCCCCTAATTCCCCCCACCCCCCATCTTCATGAGATGATTGTAACTTCAACCTCAGCTAATCCTAAAGTAATCTGTCATGGGAGTGAAAACTTACACCATTACTTAGTTGTTAAAATCAACTAAATGGTGTACAAAGTCCCAGTGTGTGTACGGGTTGGTAGATAGCAGTATTCAAGGCAAGCTTCAACTGCATTGCAGTATTAAGTGAACAATCAACAGCCAAAGTATGAAGAGAAGTGGTGAACCTGCACTCTCCATTGGGAGCGAGCTACCTCTATTTTTGGAGCAGGACTGGCAATCCTCCCATCATTCTTAAAACACAGGAGTGATCTAGAGCAATGCCTGGTTCAGGCAGGTGATGCTCAGTTGATGCTTCCATTAGATCTCGGCATGCAATCAAAACTCCAGGAAGCAACTTGAATGGAGTCAT